TTATTATAGCTGTGCGTAGTTTTTGGAATGCGACTGCATGTAGTCGAGGCCTGTCCTTCGGCTTGCCACTGTCGCGAATAGGTTCCTTGAAGTTTGGAACTATTTTGTTTTGCAAGCAACGGTGGAGAAAATGGATGGCCTGTCTAGCCAGTGCTATTTTTTGTCTCACAGATACGAGCTTCCATGATGATCGACCACAGTCAGCTGCTACCTCTCGAAGCAGTGCCACGTTCAACTCTCAATAAGTCTTGGCGTTTTTCCTTTCGGTTGTGAGTTTTACTTCTCGAGATGCAATCGAGATTCTTCGAAAGTTTTTATTCGGCTACCTCTTTTGTCTTCCTCGAGCTTGGAAAGACAGAAAGAAATTGTTCAATTAATTGAAAACTAAGAAATTGCTCAATCAATTGAATGAAAATAAGAATAAAAAAGCGTTGAGATGCTGAGCGTATATGTTACGCACGGCAAGAAACACCTACCCTCTCACTTTCTGCTATCTTTTCCCTCCTTTCCACGCGATCACATTTATGAACCGCCTCAGCACTGTTTTGCTCTCGCGATGAACACAATCGAAAGACGATCCAGCATGATCATGGGTATGACAACTATCAAAGTGTAACATCTTGGAGGCGTGTTAGTGTTGATCTCAGTTTGCAGCTAAGCATGAGCGAAGCCTCAATAAGGACAGTATGCTTGAAGAGGGGTCCACATCTCAGAGGAATGTAAGCCGTGCGAAAATTAATGCATTGTGAACTCAAAAGGTTTCTACTTCCGTTAACTATTTAGTCTAGAGCTTCTCCAGCTTCCATTTGAGGCAATGATGTTCAAAGAATCTCCACTGAAAGGCATATGGAAGTAGCTTGAACTCTTCACATTTTCTACGAGCAGCGTGCTCCTCCGGACTCGTGGGTGCTTGAAGAGTTCTATTCGATGAGCACGTGGATACGAGAACTAGCAACCACTATTTCGTCAACTGTTAGCGACAGTCAATCGAGGATTTCCTTAATAATTCATGAAGGCAT